CAGTCCGGTTGTGCTAGGAAAATTATGGTATGTGGCAGCTTCTCTAAGTGCAAGTTTTAGCCATTTAATTGCTGCCCTTTGTGTCCGAAATTCTGGATTTAATTAGGGGAGAAAATTGATAGTAATTAGACCATGATTTAGCTTAATTAAAGTGGGATTTATGTGATTGAGTGTTAATTGACTGCTGTGTAATTTATGGAGAAAAATCCCGTGAATTAGCTAGTGTTTTGGCCAATTTTGGAAGTTGGAGTTACTGTTCACGTCGTGGGTACTGTTTATAGGTACTGTTCATAACACTGTTCATATAACACTGTTCACACACCGAGGGCCAACAATTAACGGGGATTTAAATGATTTAGTTTGTGATATAATAACGAATTTGGAGATATCTGATAATGTGGAGATTTATAGAAATAGCATCGTAATTAAAGGTAGTCTTAATGATGATTTCAGTGTGAATTTGTGATAGTATGGTGATTAATTCTCAGATATTTGATTAGGTTACTGCTCGTTTTGTCAGTTAGCACTGAGATCGAGTTTTCGGTTTTATGCGAGTGAGGTAAGTAGATTATGGTAACGCCTTTCGATTTTAAAAGCATGTTTTGATTTGCTTTTGAAGTAGTGGCAGGACTAAACCCGTTTTACAAGAGTATGATTGATTTGAAGTGAAATTTTTATTCTTTTCATTAAATTGAGCATGCCTACTTGAAATTTAATTGATTGTCCTGATGATCTGAAAGTGATTGGTGAATTATGATTTTTCTGTTAACTTCAGCCTGTTTTATCTCCGATGTGGTCATGTTATTAGTGACCCTGCTAGTGGGGGAGTTTATAAACGCTAGCACATGTCGACATGTATTTCTGTAGAGCTGGTTCCTCCAGCCAGTGGGAGTTGTTAAACACTGGTATTTCAGTGACCCTGCTAGTGGGGATTATACACCAGCAAATCGTGTGCCTGCCAGTGGGAGGTTTATAACACTGGCCGTGACCTATAGAGGAGACGTCTATTTTGTTCCTATATTGTATCCGTTTTTCATGATTGCACTTGTTGGCATGCTATAAGTTAATAAAGGGCACTCCATATTTACTTACTGAGTTTATCTCATAGTTTTCCTTGTCCACCATTTTAGGAAGCGAAACCGAGGACGAGGAAACCACGGGAAGTGACGAGTTAGAAGGCTAGCCATTTCGAGATTGATATAGATTTTAGAAATAAATCACGATCTTATAAACTAGACTCTATTGGAGATTTATGATATTAGAGCAAATTATAAAATTTGATCATCAGATTTTGTGGATTGTCAGATGTGAATATGATAAGTT